TCCAAACACAGCACTGTACCAGTGACTATGAAGAAAATTAACTCTAGCCCAACTGAAACCAGGACAAGAGGGTAGTGGTCAATGGCTCAATGTCCAGATGGAGATCAGTGACAAATGACATCCGTCAGGTGTCTGTATGGGGACCGGTACTGTTTAAAAATCTTCATCAATGACATGGACAGTGGGATCGAATGCACCCTCAGCAAGTTTGCAGATGACAGCAAGGGGTGTGGTGTGGTGCGGTTGACACACCTGAGGGGTGGGATGCCATCCAGAGGGACCTGGACAGGCTTGAGAAGTGGAACCAAGTAAACCCCATGAGGTACAACAAGCCCAAGGGCCAGGTCCTGCACCTGGGTCAGGGCAACCCTGAGTATCAATATAGGCTGGGGGATGATGCGATTGAGAGCAGCCCTATTGAGAATGACTGGGGGGGTACTGGTAGATGAAAAGCTCAACATGACCCAGCAATGTGCAATTGCAGCCCAGAAAGCCAACTGTATCCTGGGCTGCATCCAAAGCAGTATGACCAGCAGGTCAAGGGAGGGGATTCTCCCCCTCTACTCCACGCTGGTGAGACCCCCCCTGCAGTACTACCTTCAGCTCTGGCATCCTCGGCACAAGAAGGACACGGACCTGTTGGAGAGAGTCCAGAGGAGGCCACAAAGATAATCCGAGGGCTGGAGCACCTCTCCTATGAAGACAGGCTGGGAGAGTTGGGGTTGTTCAGCCTGGAGAAGAGAAGGCTCCAGGAACACCTTGTTGCAGGCTTTCAATACTTAAACAGGCTTGTAAGAAAGATGGGGACAGACTTTTTAGTAGGGCCTGTTGTGATAGGACAAGGGATAATGGTTTTAAACTAAAAGAGGGTAGATTTAGACTGATATAAGAAAGAAAATTTTTACGATGAGGGTGGTGAAACACTGGAACAAGTTGCCCAGAGAGGTGGTAGATGCCCCATCCCTGGAAATATTCAAGGTCAGATTGGACAGGGCTCTGAGCAATCTGACCTAGTTGAAGGTGTCCCTGCTCATTGCAGGGGGGTTGGACTAGGTGACCTTTTAAGATCCATTCCATCCCAAACTATTCTATGATTCTGTACCGGCTTGAGGAACGCTATGCCTTTGAACCTGTGCTGCTGAAGGTGGCGTAACTTCTCTGCATTGGTGTGCCACCACGGGATGCTTATTTGCCAATTTAACAGAACTGAGCGGGATGTTTGGAGCAGTTGTGCAGGGATGGTGAGTGAGGAGCAGGGGGAAGGTGAGGATGGAGATGAGACTGATCAGTGTTTCATCACTGAAGAGAAATGGGTGTAGTTTAACCTTGGCTCTTACATTGTAAATGATGTTCATCCCTGGCCATGTGGCTGCTTATGGCTCTGATGCAGCCTATGGATGGTGTGAGAGCTTTCTAGTGGAGCATTACATAGTCTGCAACAGGATTTGGGCAGTTTTTAATATACCTGCAGAAGTGGAAAATTCCCTTTGGGGGTATGGAGAAAGCTAATCTGTTTGAAGGAGGAAAGAAAGGTGAATACCACTGAGGTGGAGGCATCATGATGTCCTGTCAGTGTCTCCCAGCAGCTGGAGGGAGGTGGATCGGGGGTATGGCACTGGTGTGATGCCATGCCAGAGCTTGTCGACAAAATGCAGGGAGACACAACTCATACAGACCATCCCTGAGACAAATGAGCTCTTTGCAGGGGTAAATGCAGAGCTGCATTAGCTGAGTCTCAATACTACGAGAAGCAGCTGAGTGATAAAATGTTTTACTTGGTGACATTTTTGCACACTCCTCCAACACTGTCTTATCGTCTAACAGCACATTGTTTGCTGGCTCTGGGAAGCTACTGCATGTTCACAGAGATGCTGATGGACTGAACCTTTTCTAGGGACTCCAGACGTGCTGGAACATGTGCCATTTATTCCTACTTTAGCAGTATTCACAATATCCCTAGTGTGGGCTGGGCGCAGGAAAGCAGCCCTTCCCCGAGAGATCACACGTGGCTGTGGTCAGTCAGGAAATGGGGAGGACAGAGGCTGCGGTGGGACCACGCTGCCCAGCCCCATGTCACCCAGCACAAGCCCCAGCCCTGAACTTGCTAACATGAGCTTCTCCTCTGCACATGAACATTTACATTGAGTTTTGATATTAGCATTTCAGATTTGAGCATTGACCATGAATGAAAGCATTTATTCCTACATAATAAAATCCCTCAATTTCCATATAAACCCCACCTGTAATGAAAACCGTTGTTGACAAACAAATAGCAATAAATAAATAGGTGGCCTCCACTTTATAATTTAAACATTGTCAAAATGTGGCCATGGAGGTGTCCCATCCCCTCGCAAAATACCACGCATGGCAGACAAGTGCCAGAACGATGACTTTGCTGGTGAGAGTTGGGGGTCCGGGAGCCACACTGGTACCGGCCACCCTGCACTTATCTTCACTTGCCAGCTCAGGTGGCACCGTGCAGTCCGTCAGGTCCCCTGCACGGGGGACATCAAGCGCCGTCGTGTTGCGAGGGCCCAGGAAGGCACAGTGCAGCCCTTTGATCGACCCCCTGCGTGTTGCAGTCCACCGCCAGAACCAAAGCATCTTGCAGTCACATTTCCAGGGGTTGTGGGATAAAAACACGTACTTCAGTTTTGGCAGCTCAGCGAACAAGCGGATGGGGAGAGAACTGAGGTTGTTCTTACTCAGGTGAAGGAAGTGCAGCTTGTTTAAATACAAGAAAGCGGAGTCTGAGATCGAGGAGATCTGGTTGTTGTTCAGGTACAAGTTTCTCAAGTTCAGCAGATGTCTGAAGGTGCAGTCGACAGCAGTGATTCTGTTGGCTTCAAGGTGCATGGTCTTGAGCTGGATCAATCCGTCGAAAAGCTGATTAGGCAAATCAGCGATGAAGTTGTGTCCTAAATTTAACATGCCCAATCTGAGAAGCTTTGTAAAAGCGCCATTTTGAATGATCCATATCCGATTCTTCCTGAGATTCAGATCATACAGGGTTTCCAGGTCCTTCAGGGAATCTCTGCCAATGGCTTCTATGTGGTTGCCCTCCAGGGACAGCCTGGTGAGGCTGGAGAGGTTTCTAAAAGCTTGTGGGACATACCGCATGTTATTGGAGGCTAAATCGAGTCTTTCTAAAGAAGGCAGGTGTGAAAATAGAAGTGGGTGGATTTCGAAGATATTGCAGTGGGACAAATCCAGGCTGATGAGGTTTAATAGTCCTCTGAAAGTGCTTGCATGCAGGTAGGTGAGGCGTGAGTTCCTG